GGAGACACAGGACACAGGGCTGGAGCTTAGGTGTTTATTCCTTTACAAATCATTACAAAACCAGGCCTGGGGCTGGCACCGCCCCCCTCACCCCTGTGTGCAATGGCCAGCAGCTGGCCTCCAGGAGCCCCCAGCTCCACAGCCTCTTCCTGGAAGTCCTTCCCCTCTGGGCTCCGGAAGAACAGGGAGAAAACGCGCCCCGCCAGCACCCGCTTCATAAAGTGCCCAAGTGAGGAGCTAGCCCCAGCTGGGACGGCTCCTGGCTCCCCCAGCCACCCAGGCCCGGCCTGGGGGAGAGCGTGGGAAGCCCCTGGCATCTCCAAACAAAGGCCGCATGAGCCCCCGTGCGGCTGGGATCCCCCATTCGCAGCCCCGAAGGCTCCTCTGACAGGTGGAGGCCTCTCCCCTGAGAGGGTAGGAAAGGAAGCCAAGCCACTGAGGGCCGCTGAGGGCCGGGACCACGGGGTGGGTCCCACTCTCTCCACAGTCCTCCCTCCCCGGGGGAGTTCTCGCAAAAATACCCTAAGTTTTCCAGGAGGAGGTGGGGAAAACCGCTCCTGCCCCCTGGCCCCAGCCCCCCAGTGAGGGACAGCAGCTGGGGGACCCCGTCTCCTGAGAACAGGGTAGCAGCGGGGGAGTGGGAGGGTCTCAGGTCCCATAGGAGAACCTGGATGGGGAGAGGTGCCCAGAGAGTGGGGGGGCTGGTCCAAGGCCACTCAGGGAAAGCGTGGCCTGGACCCCAGCCTCCCACCTCATGGGCCTCCCAATAACTTCCATAAACCCACGAATTTGCTGACCCAGCCTCCAGACAGCTCTTACCCCCACACGATCTCCCTTCCTGATGCTGAGAACTGAGGGGGCAACGGTACGTTCACAGCTCCTTGGGACAGGACCCCAACATCCCAGAAGGGAGTGATTTGGGGCCCATTCCTGGGGCTCTGAACCAAGGCCTCATGGGAAAGGACAAGTCCTTAGCCTCAGACTGACTCAGAAAAACCCCTAGACCCTGATTGACTACGCTCAGACCCTGACTGGACAAGACAGATTCCCCTGACAGCCTGATAAATCACAAAGAATCCCAAATCCCTGATTGACCGATGCCCCGGGACCTCTGACTGCCAGAGGGTTCACCCTCATCAAGGCCCTGATTGGCCAGAAGACACTCCAGCAGCCTTGGCCGGTCAGCAGATGGCCCACGGTAGAGTGGCTGGGCCCAGACCCACTTCTCCTGAGCCCCTTGGGTGCCCCACAGACGGGTGGCCTAGGTCCAGGACGGGTGGGAGAAGGTGATGCCATACAGCTGGGCCCAGGACGAGAAGACCCTCTTCTCCGTGATGAAGCGGTGGTGGTTCCCCTTGCGGCTGTGCTCATTCTGGATGTAGGTGACACATTCGTCGGGCCCCTTGGGCTCGTAGTAGTGGTAGGGCATGCGCTGCAGGCGGGGCCGCTGGCTGGGGCACAGCAGACAAGGGCATCAGGGCAGGCTGGGTCCCTCTCCTGCCAGGACTTCAGTAGGGCAGACCCCTGCCATCCCAGGCCTCAGTTTCCCTATCAGTGAGCATCTCCGTCCGCTGCCCTGATGCAGCCAACCTCTCCCTTTCTTCCGGGCGTGGCAGTGGTGGAAGCCGGGGGCTCTGGAGTCGTCTGGCCCACCCCTCACTGTTTGCAAGACCTTAGGCACCTCACATAACACCCCCCTCAGCTTTCCTCTTGGTGAAATGGGGAAATGGACAATCCCTGTCCCTTAGCTGGGAAGAATAAGCAAGATCGTAAGGTATGCACGTGTGGCGTGCGAGCAGCACGCGGTGCAGTACGCTGACAGCTGGCGGGCTTCTCATACAGTAATCACTACCGTTAAACACCAACTGGCTGAGCGTGGGGTGGGGGCCCAGGCGGCTCCAGGGAGCCCAGGTTCCGCAGCACAGCCCGAATGCTACACAGTGCGGCCAGTGCCTGGGTGCACTGGGTGGGCACTGGCCGGGAGGCTCACCTGCAGTAGTCAGGGGGGACCATGCCATAGACGTGCACGTGGTCACACAGCTCCACCGCAATCACCATGGTAAACCAGCCTGTGCTCAGCCACGAATGGGACTTTTCCCTGGGGACAGAGAGGGGTCACCATCAGGGACACAAAGGCAGGGGTGGGGAACAGGCAGGGTCCAACCACAAGGTTTCCCAGAAGCTCTTCCCACCCACCCACCCACCGGGGCCCTACCCCCACTTGTGCACCCTGGACCCCTGTCCAGCCCTGCTGTGGGAGCAGGCTCCTCTGAGGGAAAGGGCGGGAGCAGAGCATGCTGGGAATGAACCCCGGGAGGCTGACCGCAGTGGGCAGGCTGGGAGGGATCACGACCAGAGAGCATGCCAAAAGCAGCTGCGCCTGCACCAGGAACAAACTCCTAAGGGGAAAGTAATCAGAGAAGGTCTGCCAGAGCAGCCACAGCTCAGGATAAGCCACGGAAAGCAAGGCCTGGGGCTGTGCTTCCCCTGAAGAGGCCGCAAGCCACATGCGGTGACTGATCTCTTGATGTGTAGTGGACAGGTGTTGTGAGTGTGAGATACACAGTGATTTCTTGGAGAGTATAAAAAAAGAACTAGATATGTCACTGATAATTTTTTATATTGATTTTATGTTGAACTGAAAATATCTGGCATGTATTTGGGGGAAGGTGGTTCTTTGAAAAGATTTATTAAAAAATAAAACAAAAAAACACTGGCAGAGCGGGGGTACAGTGGTGCCTGCCTGTAATCCCAGTGACTCTGGAGGCTGAGGCAGGAAGATCACCAGTTCGAGGTCAGCCCCAGCAACTCAGCGAGACCCTAAGCAAGTTAGAGAGACCCTGTCTCAAAAAATAAAAAAGGTTAGGCATGTGACTCAGTGGTAAAGTGCCTCTGGGTCAACCCCCAGTACCATAAAAACAAAAACAAAACTTCTAGTGAGACATTAAAAACATAATAAGAAAATTCCACAAACAACTCCATATATAAATTTGACAACTTAGATGAAATGGGCCAGTTCCTGAAAACCCACAAACTTCTCAAGATGAAATACACAATCTGCATAATTTGTAACTACCTAAAAAAAAAAAAAAAATCAAATGCAAAGTTAAAAACTTCTGGGACCCGGGGTGTAGCTCAGTGGTACAGCATGTGCTTGGCAGGCCTGAGGCCCTAGGTTTAACCCCAGCACCAGAAACCAAAAACAAAACAAAACTCCTCAAAAAGAATACTACAGACCCAGAGAGTTTCGCTGGCAAACCCTAATGTTTAAAAAGAAACAAAACCAATTTTTATACAGTTTCTTCTAGAAAACAGAAAGGGAACATTTCCTGGTTCACTTTTTGAGGCCAGCTTGACCCTGATACCCAAACCAGGCAAAGACAGTACCAAAAAACCTACAAGGGCTGGGTACATGTGATCTAGAGGTACAGTGCTTGCCCAGCATGTGCCAGGCCCTGGCTTTGATCCCCAGCACTGCAAAAATGAATCAATCAAACAAAGAACACAACAACAAACCCAACAAAAAAAAAACCCTGAAAAGCCTACAGACCAATCTCTCTCATGAACACAAACAAAAATCTCAACAAAATATTAGCAAATCACAACCAGAAATACATAAAAAGGAAAGTATACCACAACCAAGTGGGGTTTATTCCAGAAATGCAAGGCTGATTCAACAGCCATGCCCAGTGGCACACACCTGCGACCCCAGCGACTCAGGAGGCTGAGGCAGAAGAATCACAAGTTCAAAGCCAGCTTCAGTAAGTTACCGAGGCCCTAAGCAACTTAGCAAAACCTTGTCTCAAATTTAAACAAACAAGTAAACGAACAAAACAGAAAAAAGAGCTGGGGATGTGGCTCAATGGTTAAGCACTCCTGGGTTCAATCCCTGGTACAAAAACAAAACAACAACAACAAAAAAAACAAGCAATATTATCTACTTATTAATAGTCTTTAAACTATGTGATTATATCAATTGCTACCAAAAAATAAAATAAAATTTAATACCCAGTAATGGTAGAATATTCTCAGTAAACTAGTAAAAGAAATTCCCTGGGCCGGGGTTGTGGCTCAGGGGTAGAGCACTTGCCTGGCATGCGTGAGGCACTGGGTTGGATCCCTGGCACCTCATACAAATAAAAACAAAAGAATGGAAGACTGAATGCTTACTTTCCCTCTAACAAAAACCAAAGCAAGGAGTCCACTCTTATCAATTTCAACACAATTAACATTGTATTGATAATCCTAACCAGTGCAATAAGGCAAGAAAAAAGAAATAAGAAGCCAGGCATGGTGGCACACACCTGTGATCCCAGGGGCTTGTGAGGCTGAGGCAGGAGGATCATGAGTTCAAAACTAGCCTCAGCAACTTGGCAAGGCATTAAGCAATTTAGCGAGATCCTATCTCTAAATAAAATATAAAAAGGGCTGGGGATGTGGCTCAGTGATTAAGTACTCTGTATCCAGTCCCTAATACCAAAAAAGAAAAGAAATAAGAGGATAAGAGACATAGATTGGAAATGAAAAAACAAAATTATTCTTAATTGCATACATGATTATCTGCATAGAAAAATCTTAAAGAATCTACAAAAATCTTCTAGAACCAAGCAACACAAAAATCAATCATATTGGGGCTGGGGTTGTGGCTCAGCAGTAGAGCGCTTGCCTAGCGTGTGTAAGGCCCTTGGTCTGATCCTTAGAACCAGATAAAAGTAAATAAATAAAGCAAAAAAGGAAAAAAAATAAACAAATAAATAAAGGTATTGTGTCCATCTATAACTAAAACAAATTAAAAAAAAATATCAATCAGAAGGCTAGGGTTGTAGCTCAGTGGTAGAGCACTTGCCTTGCATATGTGAGGCCCTGGGTTCAATCCTCAACACCACATAAAAATAAATAAATAAAGGTATTTAAAAAAACTGTGAGAAATTTTAAAAAATAAATTAATAAAAATAATTATAAATAAATATATTGTATCTATCTTTAAAAAAATCTTTAAAAAAATCAATCATACTTCAGCTGAACACAGTGATATAACTTATAATCCCAGCAACTCAGGAGGCTGAGGCAGGAGGATTGAAAGTTTGCAGCCAGCCTTAGCAACTTTGCAAGACCCTGTCTCAAAAAACTGAAATAAAACAACACTAAAAAAGGACTGGTGGAGTAGCTCAGTGGTAGCGTACCCATGGGTTCAACCCCCAGTACTGCAAAAGGAAAATTTCAAAAGGGCTGGGGATGTAACTAGGTGGCACTTGAGTTTGTATGGGGACCTGGTCTATCCCTCCATGGCATGGGGGGAGAGATCAGTCATGTCTATATATTATCAATGAACAACTGGAAACAGATTTTTTTTTTTTGAAAAAAATACAATAGCTCCAAAAATGGTTAAATGTTTAGATATAAATCCAACAGAATATGCCCAGGAGCTATGTTTTACACACTGAGTGAAATGGAATAAAGTTAAATGTACCTTTCTTTTTCCCTTCAACGTGACTGCTGTGAGGTTTAAATTCCGCGTGTGGCTCACGTGATATCTACACTGAAGGGTGCTGATCTAAGTTTTCTGGGAGATTAACCAGAGAAGAGCATGCTGGGGAGGGTCACTGAGGATCAAGCACGTGGGAGGGCATGCGGGGAGTGGTCAGGCCGGCCCCTGGGCACGGTGCGGGTGCTCTCCTGGAAAGATCTAGAGGCAGCCACCGGAACGTGCTGGAGGTGACCACGTTGAGAACTGAGAGGTGACAGGGACTCTCCAAGGAGACCTGACCAGAGGGTGGCCAGAAGGGACCATGGCTTCAGAGCAGTGCGTGCAGGAGCCTGGGGCCTCTGGGAGGAGCATGCTGAGGAGCACAGGGCTGGCCAGAGGGGGCGGGTGGGAGGCTGGTACCTGTCCTTGCCCGTCTCACCCCGGAAGAGGTCGTCGAACTGCTGCATGCGGGCGGGAGAGACGGCGTAGGCCTCCATGGTGGGGAAGGCCAGGCCTGCCCGCTGGATGACGCGCACGAGGCTGCCCTGGGGCTTCTGCATCTTGCTCGGAGGGCCCCAGAAGATGAACACAGTTTCGGGGGTCCGGTTGACAAACTCCTGGGGCCTCCGCAGCACACGGAACACACTGGAATGGGCCACCACGCGGAAGGTGGTCTTGTTGCCCACATCGGCCGAGTAGCCGGTGGTGGGCGCGTCGTTCATGCGGATGGTGCACTCCGCCCGCTCAATTTCGGGGCCCAGTTTGGTGCCCAGCAGGTGGCTGGAGCTGGTGACAATCACACACTGGTGGCACCGGGAGGGCAGTGTCTGGGGGGCAAGGAAAGTCAACAGTATCACAGCCACTCAGGGCTGGGCGCGGTGCCCTGCACAGGCCTCAGGAACCAGGAGTCACTGTGCCTGTTTCAAAAACAGGGAAACTGAAGCCATCCTCTCCACATCCAGCAAGTGTCTACACACGCGAGCTAACAGCCAAACTCTGGGGACAGAGCAATGAGCAGGACACAGGGCTCCTACCCTCCAGAGCTCAGTCAGGGGGGCGGACAGTGAACATAAAACATGCTAGGAACAAAGGAAAACGGGCAGGTGACCAGAAGCCACTGGATCAGAGCTGAGACCCCCAGGATGAGAAGCAGCCACCTGGGGAAGAGTATTCAAGGCCGGAGAAGCAGCAGGCAGGCAGGGGGCGGGCTGGGCAGAGCTAACAAGTGGGGACAACAGACCCTCTCTGTTGTCCTGGCCTAGAAGTGCAGGACCTGGATTTGAACGAGATCTATGTGACAGATCTACAGCCTCAGCTCCCAGAAAAGGACATCTCCACACCACCCACAAACAAGCCCTTGACTCCAAGATCCAGCACCTGCCCCATGGGCCTCCAAGGACGGTTTCCCAACTTCCCAGCGCTCATTTCCTGGCTTTCCCTATCCGGCTGGAAGCAGCTGCAAGACTCAGCCTCCACACACCACCCCACCCTGCTGTGCCACTGTCTCCCAGTTCCATCTTTTCCCTTCCTCTTTCAGGGGTCCTTAGGGTAGAAAAAGACTCAGTGAGGTGTTAATCTGTCTCTAAACACCTGCTAATGGGCTCTAGGGTGTGTCTAGTGCTAGGGTTTCCCCACCAGCATGCAAAGGAGAAAATTAAGGCAGCCAGTTAAAATTAAGAAAGAGAGGTACTGAAGGGTGAACCCCAGAAATACAAGGGTTTTTTTTGATACCAGGAATTGAACCCAGAGGCTTAACCTCTTAACCACATCCTCAGCCCTTTTTTGTATTTTAGTTAGAGACAAGGGCCCGCTGAGTCTTTAGGGCCTTGTGGAGCTGTTGAGATAGCTTTGAACTCATGATCCTCCTGCCTCAGCCTCCTGAGCCATTGGGACTGCAGGTGTGCACCACTGTGCCTGGCTACAAGTTGAACTTCATCACTACCCAGAAGTACACAGGAATGACTTGATTGGCAAACAAGCCAGGGACTCAGAAGTGACATCAAATCCTAACCACTAGACCACCAGGAGGGGCCGGGAATGACATTTGGCCTTTCTACACAGCTGCAGTTCAGCAGGGGTTGGGGAAAAACTTTGGCTCATCCCTTCCTAAGCTGTGTGGCCTAGGAAAAGCAACTTTACTTCTCTGAGCCTGGGTTAACCCCATCTCTTTTTCCCCAGACACCAGTGCTGGGGATTGAACCCAAAGGCACTCTAACACTAAGTACACGCCTAGCCTTTTTAGTTTTCATTCTGAGACAGGGTGTTTCTCAGTTGCTGAGGCTGGCTTCAATTTTGTGATCCTCCTGCCTCAGTCTCTCAGATGCTGGGATTACAGGCATTCGCCACTGCACCTAGAATCCTATCTCTTCAGGAGATGATAATGCTGACCTCACAGTTTGCCTGTGGAGCACTGAGGATCACAGGGCCTAGCACATAGCAGAATTTGATAAGGGACAGCCACCATCCTTGTCGTATTTGTGTGGCGCAGCACCCCTGCTGCCAAGCCCATGTGGACTCCCCAGTGGGACTCAGAATATGGTGGAATCTTACTACTAAAGGCCCCGGAGAGCAACTGAGGCCCAGAGAGGTGCTGATCCAAGGTCCCAAAGCAGCCAGGGTTAAAGTCACTGGAGGCCAGGGCCTCGGCTTCCAAGGCTCATCCTTTCCTTCAGGAGGGAAGAGAACAGGGGAAGATGGGGGGAAGACGTGGCAGAAGACGAGGGAGCAGTGCTGGTGGGCTGGGGGGATCAGCCACCAGGCAGCTCCCGGGGGCCGCTCTACCTTGTTGCCGAGAATAGGGATGTAGCCGTGGGTGAGGCTCCACTTTTTGAGGTTGATGGGCCGGCGCGTGCGGCCCCGCAAGGACCCGTAATGGAAGACCTCATTGGCACTGTTGGAGCTGTAGAGGATGAGGATGGTGATGAGGGCAAAGAGGATCAGGAACACCGCTGACCGCTGCTCCTGGAGAGGGGAAAGGCCGGTGAGGCCCAGGTGCCCCCCCGGCTCAGTACCCGCCTCCTCGCTGCCCCCCTTATCCGACTCACTCTTGGTCACTGTTCCAGACCACCCTGGGCACTTCCTCCTCCAGCCCCGAGTCCCCCTCTGACAGCACAGACCATTCAAACCACAACTGCTCACTCAGACCAGGAGCTCTAAGGACTCAGTCTGGTCGGCCTTACACCCCTGATTCCAGGATGGAGCTCAAGCACAGGTTTGCTGGACTGGAAGTGGGTGTCAGGATTCCCTCCCCAGGCAGCTAAAAAGATGCCTAGGGACGGTGGCCATCCATGCAGGAGGGTCCAGCTTCCCCAAACAGTAACTCCCTAAGGTATGGAAACAGGCACGCCCCCACGCATCTGCATTCAGATGCAACCACCTGTGGGTTGCAAGTGTAGTGAGGCCTACACTGGCTGTATCTGTCCCAGCATGGACAGGATTTGTCCCCTTGTCACTATTCCCTACGTGATACAGCACGACAACTATTTACATAACGTGTGTGTATTGTAAGTAACCTAGAGATGAATAAAAAGTACATGGGAGTCAGGGGTGTGGCTCAGTGGTAGAGCACTTGCCTCGCGTGTGTGAGGCCCTGGGTTCGATCCTCAGCACCACATTATAAATAAATAAATAAATAAAGGTACTGTGTCCATTTACAACTAAAAATAAAATATTTTTTTTTTAAAAAGTATATGGGAGGGGGTGGGGATATGTCTCAGTGGTAGAGCACTTGCTTGGCATGTGCAAGGCCCTAGGTTCAATCCCCAGCCTTGCCAAAAAATAAAACATTAAGTCTACAGGAGGATGCATGTGTGTAGATTATATGCAAATACTAAAAATTTTATATAATGGAATTGAACAGCCTTGGATTTCAGTATCTCCAGGGGATTCGGGAATGAGTCTCCTAAGGAATACCAAGGGACAATGGAACTTCCTCTCACTTCTAAGCTCATCTGTTTTGCCTGCTCTAGGAAAATGGATCTGGGCCCTTTAAATAGTTTCCCTGGCCAGGCAGCAGTGTATTGTGTTTTGTCAGTAGAGGGCGCTGGAGAGACGCTACAGGAGGAGACGCTTTGGGGTTTGGTTCTGGTGGGCTTTCTGGGGAGCTCCTGCAGTGCCCACTGCTTCCCCAACACAGGCATCTTCTCCAACGCCCAGAGACTGCAGGGCTTGCAGCACGGGCAGGCACCTGTCTTCAGGACCTCAGCTTTGGCTCTTGCCGTGATCCGCACCCAACTGCCCCATCACCAGCAGCTTCCCCTCCGGGCAGTTCTGTATGGCCCCAATGGGCTGCAGCTGTGCCCTTTCCAGACAGGTCTGGGTCTCAGTCCTTGGGAGCCGGCACTCCTTATATCTGCTGCTCCTTGACTTTACATCCTGACAAACCATTACAAACTGAAAATATTGTAAGTGGAAAATGCAGGTGATACATTGTAACTACTCCACCAAACATCCTAGCTTAGCAACACAGTGTCCTATAGCGTGGATCTTGTGATCACAGGGTGACTAGGAACTGTGGCTCACTGTCATTGGCCAGCATCATGGGAAAGTAGTACTCTGAATATTGCCAGCTAGGAAAAAGACCAAAATTCAAAACTTGAAGTATGGGTTCTACTGAATGCATGTAGCTTTTGCAACATCAAAACTCAAAAATCCTTTCAAACCATTCTAAATCCCAGGCTGGGAACCATCTGTATTCCTTTAAGTTCCAAACCCCTGTTACTCCAGTGCCCTGTTATTATTCATAATTCTTTGCATTAAATGTCCTCTGTTCAAAGTACAGCATCTTCCTTCTGGGCTCAGACTAATCTGACCACCCACCCCACCCTGTCTCCAAACCTCACACTCTGCCAAGGCTGTAAGATCCAAGAAAAGGGGTGTGCAGGCCAGGCACATAGTAAGTGCTCAGAAACATGAATGAATGAACGAGGAGGAGTCCTGACACATTGTGTCATCTGTGACTATGAACACTGTTCTCCCCATCACCCTGCCTCCTGCCCAGCACTCTGGTCACCTCATGCCAGTCCTTCACCACAGATAGACCAATCAAGCCTGGCAAGACAAGGGAACCCAGGCCCAGAATCAGGCAGGAGTTTGCCCAAAGCCACACAGCAGATCGATGTCTGAAGCAGGGCTCTGCACCCTGGTCTCCCAAGCATCAGCCACTCCTCAGCAGGGAAGAGTCATGGTGGAGGGCCAGAGACAAGTCTAAAGAAGCCCATTCCATAGAGGACAGTGAGAAGCTCAAATGGGGATAAGACATGAAGGGGCCTGGACTTGGGGTGGAGCTCAGTGGTAGAGCCCTTGCCTAGCATGTGTGAGGACCTGGGTTCCATCCTCAGCATGGCGGTGGGAGGGGGGGATGGATTATGAATGATGGGGACTTACTTTGTTGCTACTCATCTCTTTCCGGCGTCTGCTGAGGGGTAGGGGCCAGCGTCCTGCAGGTGGCCCAGGGGGCAGGGATGTGGGGTCACACCTGCAAGCCACCAGAAAGGGTTATGGCTTGGGCACCCTCCCTGGGTCCAGCTGGTCAAGGCCTCCCTCCTCCACCTCCTCAGCTCTCCTACTTGCTCAGAACTTAAGCTCAGGGCACTGTCCACTTCACAGATGAAGACGCAGAGGCCCAGTCAGGGAAGGAATCTGCCCACATCATACAGCCAGGAGGCGGCAAAGCCCTGCCTCTCTCCCTGCCCACTCTCTTCCCTGGGCAACGACTGCCCCCCACCCCCGGAAATACTACACTCCCTGTAGTCCCCCAAATTCCTCTCCTTGTGTCCCTTCCAGGTTGCCCCTGTCTAGAACACCCTCCCTCCTGCACCTTCTTCCATACATCCTCCAAGCCTGTGGTGGACCGGGAACTTCCCTGGGTCCCGGTCGCCCCCAGGTAGAGCGCTAGCTCCCTGGTGGCACACCCCACGCAGGTCCTCGCTGACATTCTCCCTGTGCAGGACTGCCCAATGAATCCACTTATTAGCAAGTAAGATTCTGGGGTTGAGGGTGCAGAACGGAGCCCGAGAGGTTTGGTCCTGGCTCTGCAGGCCGCCCGGGCTCACACTCCCAACCCCATCACCAAATGGCTGCATCAAGCTGTAGACAGCCTCCCTTCCTGCCTCAGCTAAGGAGCACCAGTCCAGCTGTGTCCTCACCCCAACCCTGCCTTCCGCCTCCCCAGGACGCAGCCCTTCTCCAGACTTGAATTTCCCCACCTGTAAACAGGCAGCAAGCACTTGCGTCCAGTCCAGCCCGCCTCCAACAGATACAGGCCAGAGGCAGAAAGGGAGGGTGTGCGAGGGAAAGTGGGGCCCCAGGGGGCTGCCCAGCTCCGTCCACTCCTCCAGGGTCTCCTGCTCCTGCCACTGTCTCCGCCCCCTGACCTAGCTGCCGTTTACTCCTGCACTGTCACCAGGAATAGCTGGAGAACCTCAGGCCAGAGCTATACACACCTCGCTCCTGATTGGTCAAGCTCGGACCCCGCCCACCACAAATCCCCGCCCCCTTGCTGGCGCCCTCCCTTCCCTCACCAGGCCTCAGGTTTCTCCAGGGCCGGCCCCTCACGGCCAGCCTGGGAGACCCCGGACTCCCATCTGTGCCCGCGGTACAGATCGGGAAACTGAGGCTCGTCTCCAAGGATGAGCGGCTTATCCTCGCACACAGACTGGGGGGCAAAGGAGGGGAATCCAGAGTCCCAGGGTGGCCCCATCAGCCCTGTCGCCTCGGGTACTCAAGGGGCTCACAGGTGCAGCCGCCCTTGGTCCACCCCCATCTGGGGTGGGGTGCTAGACCCCCATCTTACACCCTTTCCTGCGGTAGCCTAGTGCACTCCAGGCCTCAGCCCACCTCGCACTTCCCCACCTTTGCCTGAGCAGTGCCCTCAGCCAGGACCACGGTCCCCTGGTCAGCCCCGTCACAATCCTGTTCTGAGAAGGCCATGGTCAGTACAGTGCGTCGGGTGCCAATGAGAATCTGGTTTCCACCACTTACTGGCTGGGGGGCCTCGAGCAAGCCATGTGACCTCTCTGAGCCTCAGTTTCCTCATCTGTGAAATGGGAATAATAACAGTAGGTAACTCTTAGGGTTGTCGCAAGATGCAAGCAGGTGTGACAAGGGGCACACAGAGCTTGACAGTGCTCCATCAATGCAAGCAGCAGTTAGTTTTGGGGTTCTCAATGTCCACGGCCTGCCTTTCCACAAGTTTGCCAGCAAAACACCCTCCCCTCTGACCCCAACCCACGACTTGGCACGTATCTCGGAGCCTCGCTAAGCATCGCCCACCCACAGAATGCTCCCGGCAACAGGGCAGGGCCGAAACCATGATTCCCCACTTCACAGATGGGGAGACTGAGGCTTCCAGGGGCAGAGTCCTCGCAGGCCCCAGAGCTGGCGTAGAGTCTCATTTACAGCTTGTTTTCGGGGCGAGCCTGAGGGGTGTCCCCGAAGGACCCCTGAGGCTGCAAGCGGCCAGGGGCCGCCGCGTGCGTCCAGCACCCGGCTCGGCACCAGGGAGCAGGCCAGACCGGAGAGGCTCGCTCGGG